CCCCCACCCCACACAACTCCCACCACCTCCTCCAATCGCAAAAATCTTGACTTCTATTTAAAATAGATGGATACCTTTTTCATCAAAATCAAAGCAAGTGAACATGCTTTAAGATTACAGAAATGACTCTATTTAGGGCCCAAAATCTGAGTAGCACCTGGTTCCACCATGTCACGACACAAATCACTTTCCTAGAATTATTAAATTCTATCTGCTCAGTACCTATAGTTATGAGAAATTTGAAGTTACAATTTTTGAGTTTCGAATGCAATTCTTTAAATATCCCGATAACGAATCCGAATAATCTTACCATTTTGACTAAGCATAAAAACATAATAATTTGGTTTCTGGCCTCATGGTCTTAGTAACTCAAAACGACCAAAAATGTCATCAGACAGAGCTTTGTAACTCTGGGATAGCGAAATTGTATTCCATGCGTGAGCGTTGGCTTGCACTGATCACCTTGATGTCTGCTCCCCCACCCCCACCCCAGACTTACTCTCCTCTGTCTGTACCTGATTTGACCTTCAATAATGTATTTTATAGAGGCACCAGCCTCCAATGTTCGTGTTCTGTTTTAGTCTCTTTCTCCTGTCTGTGGAGCGATTAATATTTAATTTGGGTTTTTTTTCTTCCAAATTGGTGCTAGACCATCAGTAATGTATTTATAGAGGCACCAGCAATTCATGTCCAGGTGCTGTTTTAGCCTATTTTTCTTGTCTGCGGATTAATATATTTTCCCCCCAATTTATTGGTTCCGCTTCCATGCACCCCGTCTCGGTGGTTCTCAACCTGGAAATCGCCTATACTTCACTGTAATTGCTCCCCTCCCCCCTTTACCATTTCTCCTCAACCCCTCCCTGCCTTATAGTGTCATCATTTATGTTACCGTCCATTTTTACTCACTTCTTGTCCGACTCCGTCGACGTGGACGATGTTGGAAAAGCTGATTGACTTCTTCCCTGACTTCCCCTCTCCTGTGCCAGTGCCGAGACCAAACCGGGCCAGGTGTAAGGTTGGTAGACTTGACTCCCTTTTCAGGTTGGACCTTTTGGTTTCTAATCTGTAAAAGTCAGGTTTTGAATTCGGGTTTCAATTTAGACTACCAACATGTCAGGTGGTATTTCGGAACACTAATTCGCCTGACATGGCATTGTGCAGTTTAGCCTTTCGGCACTCTAAGCTTATTTTTTAGGGAGGAACTCAAAATTCAAAGTCAAACTCAAATAGAACAAAACTACGTATTTGTAGAGTCCAAAACTTCCATAACAATCCAAGTTCAAGAACGTCCCTTTGGATACTCGAGTATGGATAATTCAAACCAAAGCTCAGCATGATACCAACTGATCTAAAGGGGCACCTTATACACCTGGAGGTAGATTATGAACACTGTAATACAGAAAAGACGAACAGTCAATTTTAGCCCAACCACCTCGTGTGCGTGTGCGTGTGTGTGAGTGTGTTCGTGTTTTTGTATGCGTGTATGTGTCCGTGTGTGTGAGTGTGTGGTTTGCGCGCGTGTTTGTATATGTGTGTGTATTTGTGTGTGTATGTGTGTGTGGTGTTTGTACGTGTTTATGAGCGTATGTGCGCTTATGCATGTGTGTTTGTGAGTGCATGTGTGTGCGGTGTTTGTGTGTGTATGTGTTTGTAAGCGTATATGCGCATATGTATGTGTGTTTGTGTGTGTATGTGTGTGCGGTGTTTATGTGTGTGGGG